ACATGCAATTCAAGATTCCAATTTGCTGTCCTCAACCGAGTTGCAAGGAACTAATTTTTTTTTTTAATTTCTTCTTTATCAAGTTTAGTTTCTAGTTTATTTCTTTGGGTAATCTGATGTAGTTTTTTCATTTCACGTTAATCAACAATAAGAAAAGTTTAGTTAATTTCAAATAGAATTTTGGATAATTTATTTGTTCAATTTCAATGCTTTGGTTGTTTTTGTGCTTATTTTGCATTATCCGGTGATCATTAAGTCTATGGTATTTCATGCTGCCTTTTGATATGTGGTTCATCATGCTGTATCTCCATGCTCTCTCTTCTTTAGGCGCAGTTTATTACTGTAACTGCGTTTGTCTTTTAATTTCTGGTATCACTGTTTTCTCTTGTGTCGCCCGAACCGTCATGAGGGGCTTGTGGTTTATTGTATATTTCATGTGTGGCTCAGCCTGTTTCTTGTCCAGGTTGTAGCCTAGCTTTCTCCAGACGTTCTCGGTTTGCCGTCATGGGTTGCCATACGGCTAATCCACCACTGTAATTTTACAGTTTCTTTAATGAAATTCCACTTTTGGCTGAGACAAAAAGTAAAAAACTCCTTTATGTTCTGCTGTTATCTTCAAATGCTGTCAATCCCTTCCGCACTAACTTTGAAATCAATGACCACTTTGAAGGTTGGCTTCAACAATGACGGTGACAGAAATAGCAGGATTGTGTAAAAGATGGAAGTAGTGATCAAGCTTGCTTCACTAAGCAATCCAGCCACTGCAAGGAGATGATGGTTTTGTTCTAACTGGGGAAATTAAGTCCCTGAATATGTTATCCGTTTGCTTCAATGATGCAAGAGAATTTGCAATTCCCTTGTTCATGGTCTTCCTAGAGGAGATGTAAGCACTGATATTGCTGTCAATGCTTAGCAGCAATTGTGTTACCGCATATATATATCCAAGTGCTTTTTTTTGAAAGGTTGAATTGTCATTAAATGCGAGGGAATGGAAAATTCATCTCTATGAATCATACAATCAACAACACTGACTCATGATTTTGAGGACTGTGCCCATAAAAAACAGTGAGCATAGCCTTCCAAATCACCACAGCACCTATACCACAACATATCAGCACCATCACCTCTGTACTCAAAATTCAAGCAGTAGATTACCAGCTCTACCACAGTAGCTGTACACTCAAACAAAACCACTATTAACCTAGACGCCGCAGACACATCTGATAACAAATCTCAAGACGCCTCCGCTTCGCATTTAGTTCAACACTATATTAGCCTGCAGAATCGGGGAGCAGCCAAGACCCAATCCAGAACAGCCAGTCTCATATCAGCAGCGAACAGCCAGTCTGCAACTTGAAAAATTGTCCTTATAAAACCTTGCTATAGCTCCCATATAACAGCCGCCATCCGTTAATCAACCACAACCACAGGCATCACTGATTTTCATCTCCCACACAAGACACCTCATGGCATGTGGGCCAACATACCACATGCACAGTCATGGCTGACAGCATGCCAAGTTAACTCACCAAGTCTGCCATGTTTCTTTCAATCATCCCTTCCATTTTCCTGATCAAGCCATCATGCTTCACGCACTGCCGGACCTCAGTAGATCAAACTGCTTTAATGAACAATCTAACAACAATTAATTGACCCATTTTTCATTTTGATGCTGAGCCGAAGCTTGCTGGGTGAGATGCAAGTTAAGAAGATCCTCTAGGCCCAATCTTCGATCCAGATTTCACAAAGAAAGAAACCCATTTGTGAATAATCACTGGGCCTGTAGCGACCCAAATTTTCCGTCTCTTTGGATCCAAAAAGAGTTCTTTGTACAACAAATGTTTGAGAGTTCTTTATAAAAATTTAAAATTATCAAAAATAAATAAAAAATAATTATATTTTTACATAAATTTGGATTTTTTTATTAATATATATTAAGGGGTTTTCTTTAAATAGTAAATATTAATCCTTTAGTTATAAGCGAGTCTAATGTTTTTATCAAACCACCAATCATTCTAATAATGTTTTGACATATATTTCATAAATGAAACCATAAAACACATATTCTACTCCTATTCATATTTTTACTTTGATCCTGCTTTATTATGTTTTAAACCAAATATATACTCTTTCAATAATAAACAAACAAAGTTGCAAATATTATTTTAAATTAAATCGGCTAATATATATTTTTATTGCTATTATACATGAATTATTTTTAATATGAAAATTGTTTAAATAATTTCAGAAAATTAAATTGATAGCGCATGGGATAGAAATAGCTAAGAAAAGGAAAAACAATGGCGACAAAATTCAAAAGATTATAAATGATTTCCTAAATCATTCTGAACATAAACACTAGTTGCTTACTAAACAAGGTTCCCTTGAAATACTATCCTGACAGGAAAAGTATTTGCATGGCCTTCTTTATATATTAAGTATAACCCTTTCTCTCTGGTTCTAGCTTATTCTTTTCAGGAGATTTTCATTGAGCGTTTGAGAGCTTCGTTTTTCCTTTTTCTTTTCCGCCACCTGAAAAAGAGGATCGTTTGTTTCCTTGGTGCTTGCCAACTTCAACAATGGATTCAGAGCCCATTGTTACTTTGGTTTTGTTCCCTCTAACCAGGCAAGAAGAAAAATATGCGGTCGCTGGAGAGAGTACTAGCTATGAACCTCAAAGAAAAGAAAACTGCAGGGAGAGTCAACATGATGTGAACACCTGCCAGGAACCGGAGATTGGAGGTCTTTCTTTGGAACTAATTAAAGTTGACAGAGAAGAAGCCAAAATGTTAGAGTTGACTGAATTGAGGCAGGGCCTTGATCCTTACTGCATTAGAAAGACGCTTACTGGAAGCGATCTTGGCAACATGTCTAGGCTCATGCTGGCAGCAGAGGGCATAGAATCTCATGTTTTCCCATTCTGGAATGCTGATCAGCTTGCAAAAATTAAGGAAGGGTTGTCAGTGTCTGTGTGGGATGGTGATACACAGACTGAACATGAGCTGGTTTTCAAACGGTGGAACAAGAGGGCCAACGTGCTTATCAAGAATTGGGTCAAGGACTTCGTAAGGAGGAGGGAACTGAAGCTGGGGGATGAAATTGGCCTTTACTGGGACACATGCAATTCAAGATTCCAATTTGCTGTCCTCAACCGAGTTGCAAGGAATTAACCATTTTTTTTTCTTCTTCACCAAGTTTAGTTTCTATTGTTTTTTAGGGGTGATTTGATGTAGTTTCTTCATTTGAGGCTAATCAACTCTAAGTAAAATTTAGTTTCAAATAGAGTTTTGGATCATTTATTTGTTCATTTTCAATGTTTTCGTTGTTTGTGCTTATTTTTCATTAATTAACTGGTGATTACTCAGTCTATGATTTTCCATGCTGGATTTATCTTTGACGCAATGTAGAATCAGATCTTTCCTTTTGCATTCCTAAATCTCCATTGTAAAAATGTTGTTAATGGCTAAGCAAGTTAATTCATGGTTTATGGAAATGTGTATTGATTATATAACAAATTCAGGATGCAAACGATAATTTAAAGGAACTGAAACTCAGGTTTATGTTTACAGGAAATAAAAAGACCTCTTCAACTCTTTGAATTTCCTCCTTTTCTGATGCTAAAACCACTGATATAAGATATGCTGACAATCGTGTTGGAACGTTGAAGAGCCAGTAAAGATGTTCTGAGATTAACATTGTTAAGTGGTGGCAAGACCCTGGTTCTAATATTAACCACATAAAGCCTGAAAAGCAAAAAACAAGAAATTAAAGCTCATACATAACAAGGATTTGAAAGAAGTAAAGTATGCGCTCGGCGTGGTGGTAGCAGCCGTTCCCTGGTTTATTGGCTGTTTGTTGCGTACTCCGGTGATATTTGTCTCTTCCATGTGATGGTTTTCTATGTGGTGCCCTTGCTGCCTTCTTCAGTATTGACCATGTTTTTTACTATGATGTTAGGTCTAGTCTCCAGTTGCAGGTGTTGCGGTATTCTTTCAAACGGCCGCTGCCTACTGTGTCCATGTTGGTGGTTGTTTTGTTCTATTGTTTGTTATGTTGTTTGCTCTCGCTAACCTGGTTTTCTGGGCATGGCTCTCCAAGTGTAGGTGTTGCTTTATTCTTTCATATGGCTGCCGCGTATTGTGTCCAACCACGAGTTTTTCACGCTTTGAATGGCTTTACTGATGCGGGTTGTGCATGGCTGTTTGGACAATGGTTGTTTTATGGTGTGAAGCTTTCCTGTTTTAGAACCATTTATGGTCAGCTGTCTGGTATATTTAACAGAGAAACTGTAGTCTGGATCAAGCTCTTAGTACTTGCACTCCGATCCATCTTTAAAACTTTCAAAGATAGTATCCAAAGATTCCAATCTTACCTTTGCAGATTGAATTTTCTCTTCCTCGAAGGCAACTCTTGAACTCAGCAGTAATAAGTTGCCAACTGAAACACCCACTCTCTCTAACTCGTTCATAGTCTGCTGCTCTTCAAATGCTGTCAAACCCTTCCGCCGTAACTTTGAAGGCTTTGGCTTCAACAATAACGGGCACAGGAATGACAGGAGAGTGTGAAAGATGGAAGTAATGATCCCTGAATATGTATCCATTTTCTTCAATGACGCAAGAGAAATTGCAATTCCCTAGAGGAAATGTAAGCACTGATATTGCTCTCAATGCTTAGCTCTCCAGCACTTTTGTTTCATCGACAAAATGGCATGCCTTGTGTTACCGCATAGATCCAAGTGCTTTAATGAACATTCCAACAATTCATTCTCCCATTTCTCAGTGTGACGCCGAGCCGCAGCTTTCTGGGTAAGGGGCAAATTACGAAAGATCCTCAATGCAAGTATACGGCTCTGCTGGGCCTAAACTTCAATCCAGATTTTATAGAGAAAGAAACCCATTTGTGAATAGTTATTGGGCCTCTGGTGACCCCAAATTTCTATTTCTTTGGTCCAAAAATCCAAATCTTTAGGGCTTTTTTGCTCGACAAATGTTCAAGTTTTCTTTTATACAAATTTAAAATTATCAAAATTAAGTCCCTAAGATCCCTTTAAATAATAAATAAACAATATTTTTTATTAATGAATATTAAGCGATTTTCTTAAAATATAAATTTTAAATCTTTAATTATGTGAGAGTCTAATTTTTCTTTGCGAAAGCACCAAAATATCTTTAAAATATTTTTATGTCTATTTCATAAATAAAACCATGAAATAAGTGTTCTACTCCTATTTGTATTTTATTTTATTCCTACTTTATTATACTTTACAAATCAAATATATATGCTTTCTATGAGAAAAAAAGGTTGAAACTATTATTTAAAATTAAATCGGTTAATAAAATTTTTTTATTGCTTTTATACATGACATAAATGTTATTTTAAATGAAAATTGATTAAATAATTTCAGAAAAACCGATAGTGCATGGGATAGAAA